ATGGATTACATTACAAACTACATTTTGGTGTATGTAATCTGTAATCTGTAGGGGAATACATTTTAAAAGTCACCTTCCCAACACTGGTCTTGAGTCTTCCAACAGGACAATGACCCAAAACACAAAGCTAATACTCCACAGATTAAGAACATATTACTGGACTGTTCTGGAGTGTTCTTCTGTGAGCCCAGATCTCAGTTCTACTGAACATCTGTGAAATGCGCTGAAACATGCGTCAAACTTGAGACAACTAGAACAGTTTACTCACGAGAAATGGGTCAAAATACCTGTTGATCAGAGCAGGAGTCTCACTGACAGTTACAGAAATCATTTGTTTGCAGAGTTTGCCTCAAAAAGTTGTGCAACAAAATATTAATTTAAGGGAATAGGGCTGGGCGATACGGATCAAAAAATATATCTTGATATATTTTGCTATATTTCGATATACAATATATATCTCGATATACGTTCAAGAAAAAATAACCCCCTAAAACTGAAAACTGCAAAAACAAATCTGCCAAATTCCACAAGGTCTTTTTTTTTAATTGAAGTGTAAGAGGTTGGCAGTTCATACAGGAACATTTAAGATGACAAAAAACCCTAATTACATAAATAATAATTTAACTGTAAAATAAAAGAAATAAAACATATTTCCTTCTTTTCATTTATCAATAAAACAACTCAACACAAGCTCATCTTTGCATTAACTCTGTTATCCAGACCAGAACCAGAACCATGAGCTCATTTAGCAGAAGAAGCTCAGGATGTTCCTTATTTTAATAGATCCATGTTCCTGTCCAGCAGTGAGGAGCTCTGAGGTTTAATCCCACAATCCACTGCAGATCAAACCCAACGTTTCCAAACACTATTGTACAAGTGACACTGCAGCAGATTATTAATTAAAATCTTCTGCATAAATAAACTTTACATTGCTAAACTTTACAATATATAAAGTATAACGACTCTAGAGCCACATCAGCCCGTTTGAGATAATAATGTGTTTAATGCAGTTTTGCGCACGTGTGTTTACATTTTACAAAAACGAAACTTAAGCGCATGTCTCATTTGCATAAACAGCACTTCTCATGCAGCTCAGCTCGTTCAGCTTCTTTCGGGCTAAAGGACGCGACTCGGTGGAATATGAGGATGTGCTGCTGATAGTTTTGTCTGTAAATGGTGGAAAAGGTTCGTGATGCTTGAAGTTTTTCACTGGCACCAACTTTTGGCCTTCAGGGCGATAGTGACGAGTGAATGAGACACGAGCGAACAAAATCAGGGAGGCGAGGGCGACGAGAGAGAAACAAACAAGTGAAGCGGCGAAATCAGAATTAAATATAAGCATTATATCGATATAGACGATATGTCAGAATTCATATCGAGTTTAAAAACTATCTCGATATATTTAAAATATTGATATATCGCCCACCCCTATAAGGGAACCATCATTTTTGTCCAGGCCAGTTTCATTATATTGTTTTTTTTTTAATAATTCTGTTGAACCACAGGTGAAAAGCAATGTTTTTTTTTATTTTCAGTAAATTTTTATTTATTATTGCTTTTCTCAGTTTCAAGTTATTTCAGTGATTATTGTTGATTTTTCTTTCATTACCAGAGGGAACCAACTATTTTGTCCACGACTGTATTTCTGAGCCACTGGAGCCTTTTCTTCTTGTGAGCTTTGTTTACGTCTGGCCTAATAGAAGGTTTATGCAGAACCTCAAGCGTCTGGAGGATCCTACACCTTGACGTTGGCGAGACTCCAAAGGCACCAGCAGCTTCTAACACCTGTTGAGGACCTGTACGACCTGGGAATCGAACCTGAAACCCTGTGGCTGTGAAGCGACAGGGCAAAGTGCCAGAGTCCCAGTTGAGCCAGTGCAAGCATAAAAGAATAGTCTCTTTATTAAAACACTTTGAGCAGTTTGATCACATTTAGACAAAGATCTGTGCATATTTTAATACATTAGATCAGTTACATTCAAACAGCGGAGAAATAAACAGCTCAGCCACAAAATTACATTCCAACACACAATAATGACATGCGCGTGTTCATTTAAAGAAGGACAGGTTTGGAGGATTCTCTCATTTTGATTTCATTTGGTGGGAGAACATCTGATGTAAATGTAAAAGTTTTGTAATTAATGTAATAAATGATAGTTTTACACTAATCAAGAAAAAACTGTGTTAAAAATGACAGAAAGCACAGTTCTATTTTAAAGAGTTCATACTGACGACATCGGGAGAATTTTGTCCAAAAGTTAGACTCCATTTAAACATGACTTCAACAAAATACATGTGTTTTCTTAATTTTTTAATTTGTCAAACAATAATGTCTGTGCACGTTAGGGGAGGTTTGGCCCAGAGTACGACATGGCCAGGAAACAGGCAGCAGAATTCCCTAACCTAAACCTAAACCTGCCAAACTGGGAAAAAATGTTTTACATTTTTAGCATAATCTTAAATGTAATGATCTTAACTCTGTTTTAGTGAAATAACAATGATTATAAAATAGTAATAATGAACATTTCATTGCATTAGAACAATGTTACAGAGAGAAAAGGCAGTGTAGCAGAGCATAGGAACTTTAAAACACTACCACTGAACATTCAGTGTTAGTCCACGTCACGCTGATTCACTCATGAATCAAATGCCATTCAATTCCTTTTATCACTATCTATCCATCCATGTATCTATCCATCTGTCTGTCTATCTATCCATCCATGTATCTATCTATCTGTCTGTCTATCTATCCATCCATGTATCTATCTATCTGTCTGTCTATCTATCCATCCATGTATCTATCTATCTGTCTGTCTATCTATCCATCCATGTATCTATCTATCTGTCTATCTATCTATCCATCCATGTATCTATCTATCTTCTGGTTTTTCAGCTGTAACATTCAAGCTGCTGGTTAAAGAGATGTGCTTTTAGGACAGTTATTTCTGTTATAAATGAGTAATAAATATCTATTACAAGTTAGTAACCAGCTTTAAAGTGCAAGCTCCACAGCCGTGACTAAAACTTGTGCTTTACATGAACCCAGTTTCTCTTTGGACCTGATCTGCTCCTACAAAAGTCCCTCACGCTGGATTTCAGTCCTTGCTCCTCTTTATGTAGGTAGGACTAAACCAGGTGTAAACCAGGACTAAACCGGTGGAATGCTCGGGTCCTTGGCCTTGAGTGTTTCTCGGGTGCTTTCATAGAGTCATTTCTTGAGAACATAGTGAACACATAGAGTCAGTGGCAAGAGATTCTTTGAGAATGGAATATTTTTGTGTGAAAATGATATCCAGTTCAACAGTTGTGCTGTTGGACGTGAATGTCCCATTCATTTCCCCCTAGACTTGTCAAAACATTCTGATAATAGGAGGTTAAAGGTGTTTGGGGCTGGTAGGTTTTGCTCAGTGTGGGACAGATAAAGGTTCTCTTATCATAGTTACCACAGAGCTGATCATCCCGGAGCTTTCACGTTTAATAGGATTTTTTTTAATCTATGGGGGAAATGAACGAGAAATTGACTTCTGGAAGTGGTGGTCGGTCACTGCTGAGCTCCTTTTGGACTTGGTCTTTCTTGGTTCATAAAATATTTGAAATCTCAGCTGAGTTCTTCCTTTGCTCCTCTCTCACAGCATCAGAACAGACCAGTGTGTCTCTGCGTGTCATCTGACAGAATGCGGGGTCCAGATCTCATCCTCTGAGTCCGAGTCGATCTGAGACAGTCCGGTCTGGGTTTTGTCCGTGTCTCCCGTGACGACGGAGCCGTTAATGTCGTGGAGAGGGACGTAGGAGTACGGGCGATCGACGGCAGAGGAGAGAGAGGAGGACCTGCAGAAGCTGAGGAGGTGCACAGACAGACTGATGAAGAGGAGAAGGAGGACGAGAGAGAGGGCGAAGATCAGCCATGTGCGCCTAGACAAGAGACACAGAAGGACATTTACATCTAATGAACATACACGTCTTGTTTATGTCAAAGTCCACACTCCTTCCTTTTGAGCTGAGTGTCTGAGAGCTGCATCAGGTCACAGAGGCTCTCACTTCTGTCCAGATCATTTCCCTTGTGATCAAACAGTCAGGCCCATGATACATTATCTGTGACACCACATCAAAACTGGGACTTAAGACTAGACCAGGACTTAACCTGGACTAGAATGGAGCCAAACCAAATGTACATTAGGATTTAAACTGGGCCCAAACCAGCACCGCGTCAGGACAAGTGTGAACACAGCCTACTGTAATTTAGGCCTGTCACAATAACTACTGTAATGACTTCTTGTTCAATAAATCAGAGATGGAACCTGTGGGAAATGGCATTTTAGGGTTAATATTTATCGTGGGAATGTTTCCCGTTTGCTCTTTTTAGGAACTACAAACAGATTTGAGCTGTAAAGGCTTGAATAAATAACTTCTATGATGCATTATACAGTATACTCACCACTACTATGACTATTAAGTGTTTCAATCTGCTCTTTATTCATTGCTACTCATGTTTGAACAATATTATACATTTAGAATTGATTTTTTTAGATGTGTCAGTGTCTTAAAGGAGTTTCAATCTGATCATGTCTGGTCTAGATTCTCTGCAGCCATAATCACTCTTCACGTGTTGTTCTCATGACAGGAGTAACACCACAGTCACTCTTGTTCCCAGGAAGAATTCACAGAGGCACAGGGGTTAGCACTCTCGCCTCTCAACAAAAAGGTCCTGGGTTTGATTCCCAGTTGGGGTTAAAGCTGGTGTCACATGCTTCTGGTCTGGTCTCTCCTGCTGTGAGTGCAGAGGGTCACAGGTCAAAGGTCAGGGGTCAGGGGTCAGACTCACTGGGACAGATAGTGCAGCTCCAGTTTAGACCTCTCCTCTCGTCTCCATGATCCAAACATCTGACTGCCCACACACTGGCCCACTGCAGAGGAACACAACAGAGGACTCAGAGCTGGAGTGGAATCCTCCACACCTTGGTTTGTGCTCTAATACATTGTTTAATTAGCACATTATATAAATTGTATATGAGCAATTTGTGATTGTTGCAATATTACTGAAACACTTTCATTCATGTGACAGACTAAATCACTTTATTATTTCCTGATGTGAGTTTTGGAGTATTTTAGGCGTGGTGCATGGTACAGTGTGTTATGTGCCTGTAAACTAGAGCTTCACTAGTTTGTTTCACATCAGTTCTGATCTCGACTCCATGTGCAGGTCTCTAGAGGGACTGGGCATGTGCCAAAAAGGTTACATAAGTTAGATTTGAAGTATTACAGCTGAGGTCATTTTCACACTGCAGAAGGAGGACGTCTGTATTTAAATCAAACTTGTCCCGTTCTCTCACAAACCCTTTGGCACCTTGTTCATATTCACATGTATTACTTTCACACACGGACGCCTTTAAAAGAGTGTTTTCATGCAGAGAAGTGAAACTGGGATGAACCGCCCAAGTGCAGCCAATCGGAGCACAGCTTTGAGCTCTTACTTCAAAGCTGAGGAGAAATAAAATACTTGCTTCTTAAACTCGTGTGCAGAGGCCTCTTTGTCACCAAGTGCAGCTCTTACAGTACACTTTAAACTGGGACATGTTTTAGAAGGTTCTAACTTCTAACATGTGTATTTGAATTGTTTGAGGACATTACCTTGTGTCTGTGTATTTGCAGTATATGTCCATGTTTCTCACCTGTGTGCAGTGTAGTGTTGATGTCAGGTGTGAGGGAGGCGTTGCACTGTCCACTGTGAGGATCACAGAAGCATGAGTCTGAACAGTTACACAGCTCAGAGCAGGAGGAGCCAAACGAGCCCAGAGGACACACTGAAGAGAGAAGGAGGAGGGGGGTGAGGAAGAGGAGGAGGAGGAGGAGAGGAAGAGAAAACATGAACCAAATCCATCAAAATACACATAAAATAAGTATGTCACTTGTTTTAGGATGCACCACTGAGGAGAGGAGGAGGGGATTACAAACTAGAGCTGAACAATATATCGCAATCAAATGGAAATTTGAGTTGGCGCAAAGATCAAATCACAAAGGCTGCAATTATTTAGATAAAAGACTGCACATAACAAGTATCCTGAAGATGAGCTGTAGTCTTAGACATGTTGTGGGACACATGGGGTTCATGGATTAGTTTGAAGTTCAGATGTGAATGCTCTTGGAGTAGTTTAGAATGTGCACTCGCAACAGAATCCTACTTTTTAAACATATGTCACTAATTTAATCACAATTGCAATATTTGTCAGACAAATGTGAATAAGTGTATTTCCAAAATCGTGTTAGTGACTGGTGAAAGAAAATATCAAGAAATCTGATTTAATAATGTAATTTAACAGCAGTGGCTGTGGTTACATGCACTCTCAAAATCAGATTATTGGGTTTCTTGAGTTGTCTCATTATTAAAATGTGATTTGGGTAATCTGGTTTCTTTCTGATCGCGGTCACTCAAATTACTCACATCAGATTTTGTGGTTTGCATGTCTGTTCAATAATCAACTCCAGTGGTCCACACATTAAAATGAGGAAAAACACTTGTACCGTTTTCACACATGCTCCCGGTGAATCCTGGAGGACAGGTGCAGAGGCCATGCACTGGGTGACAGGTGCCCCTCAGACAGGTGCAGGTCTGATTACAGCCGTCACCATAGAGACCGGAGGGGCACTCTGAGGAAGAAAACATGTCCGTCTTTAGTTTTATTTTTTAAATGTAAAAAGTCTTAAACATGTATTTAGTGTAAGTGCTGTTACCTTTGCTGCAGTTGTGTCCGGTCCATCCAGCGTCGCACACACAGCCCTCTGCAAACACACACACAGGGTTAGGAGTCAGGGTGGGCATGCTATGGAAAAAAAATTAATTAAATATAGCGAATTTCTTCACCAGATCACACTGTCAATATTATCACCAGAGTGTAATTGGTTCAATAGCTGTAAAGACAATTTCAGTCCTAACCTTTTGTCATTTCTGGGTGCAGGGCATCCAGGCATGACATGCTTCAGAGTCCAGTTTGTGTTAGTCTGTGCTTTAAGGTTGGGGGGAAAGTCTGATTTATGCCGATGGTGATACTCCAGGACCCGCTACATTATATGGCAAAAAGGGGGGTGGATGCTCAATAATATGGAAATATAGAATGGTGGAAGCTGAAACCATGTGACTATGTGACCTCCTGTATGGGTACAAGTATGACTCCACCCCGCCCCCTCATGGCCAAGTCAAATATAGGTCACAGTGTGCTCAGACATAAACAGTGACCCAAATGAACCCCAACCCAGAAGAAGCAAGAATGGCTCCTACATCTGTCACTCAGAATGTGACAGAGGCTGATTAAGTGTTCAAGCAGCATTAAAGGAGACCCATTTAAAAAAAAAAAAAAAAAAAAGAGCTTTTAACCATGTTATAATAGAGTCCCTGTCATTGACCTTCTGAAGTTGTATTTGGCGTGATGTGTGCATGTTTGCGTCTTCTTTATTCTTCTGGATTGAAGAAGTCCTTGATCCGATCTGCTCTCATTTTCAGCTCCACTGGTACATACTCACTGTGACACACACACTTCCTTCTCCTGTTTGATTTTCTTAGCAGTTCGTCACAGTGAAAAAAATCACAATTAAATTTTTATCACAGTTGCTCAGCTCTAGTGAAGAGTAGCATCTAGTGTCATGATACTATCAATCTCTTCTTCAGTAGTGAGAAACAGGCTCCATAACTTGTACCTCGTACAGACCTTGAGTACACATGCCGTGGTCCGCAGCCCTCCCGCTTACACTCTGCTCTGTCACAGCTCTCTCCGCTCCAGCCTCGATCACACTCACACTGACCGGACACACAGCGGCCACGTTTATTGCAGTGCGCCTCACAGCGACGGGGGTGCACGCACAGCACAGTGGAGACGGCCCGAGCACAGCGCCACCTGTTGTCAGGTTGGCTGTAACGCAGACAGGAATATTCAGTATGACAGAGCACAGAGAGAGACAGAGCACATTATTTCATGTCATCATTTCAGACAAAGGGCAGGGGCCTGTATAACTCTATAACTATAAGGGACATTCACTGCTTTTAAAGAAATCCGCAAATGTCTGCTCCACAAATGTTGAACCTTATTATTTGTTTTGGATTGGCTCCACAAAATTATCACATGAATCTTTTGCAGAGTGTTTAGCAACAAGGCTGTCAATCAAACCTGTTGCTGTTGCTAGTGAAGGTGACCCCTTCATATCTTGGTTTAGGGACAGACTAATGAAATAAACACCAGGATCATATGAACACGTTTGCTGTATCAGACGGTTTAAACACACAGTCTGGGGGTCAGAGGGGGAGCATTAGACTCACCAGTGGTCAGAGGGGGAGCATTAGACTCACCAGTGGTCAGAGGGGTAGCTGGCCAGGGCTCCGTTCCTCACAAACGTTGAGGATCCACCTCCGTCCAGGTTTATGGCGTTCACGATTCCGTACTCCTTCAGGAAGTCGGCCATTTCCCACAGGTTCATCCTGGAACGCAAAGCTGAGTTAGGGAGGAACAATTTGGGAAAAAAATATTTAATTATGATTTCCGTGGGAAGCATTGTGATTTGTGATGTTTGTTTTAATAATTCTTTATAATAATTCAAATTCTTTTCCAAGTTCACAATTTAAACATGATCTGATAAAGAATCAGACTCTACAGGGTTAGCAGTTTTGTTTTGTTTTCTTCAGAATAAAACTGGAGATTTTGTTGTGGAGGAAATCTGGAACTTGAAAAATTGCAGTCTTTGATATCTGCTAATTGCGTTCATTCTAATTGATTTGATTTGGACCTGATTGCGATCTTCCAGCCCTACACTACAACAGACCAAATGTGCTCAGTGTTTGATGAACCCAGACAATCTAAATGGGTGGTGTTCAATTTCTACAAGGTGGTGATGTCATACTCGCAGATAGGGCTGGGGATCATTCAGAAGTTACGATACATATCTCCACACAGTGAGCTTATGATTTGATACGATTCAATACAATATATTTCAAATCAATTTGATGTGGTTCAGTAAAAAATAAAGTCTAAATCATGTCTGTGATACTAAAAGTCTTTGTTAAACCACGTCTTGTGCAAAGTTCACATGAAACACAAACATTTTAATCAACAAAACAGTGAAAATGTCAAATGTGTCGCATAAACAAGTTTCCTTCCTCTAAACAAACAATAAAACTGTAACTAATAAAATAATTTTGTAAAAAAATACTCTTGGCGATATACCGATACAGCAGCCCACGATATCGATACTGTATCATCACATTAAACGATACGATATATCAATATTTAAATATTTTAGCACAGCCCTATTGCCACATGGGAGCAAGAGCCGGTTTTTCCTTTTAATTACACTGGACTTTGCCACAAATATCAGAAACGTCAGAATCTCCCAAATATGGAACCTGATCATTTCTATTACTGACTAGACCCAAGACCATACTGTATTACAACAAAAATCTGTAGTTAAACAATATTCATTTTAGCTGCCCCGTCTGTATTAAATAATATTGGCCTAAAGAATGCTGTGATGTCATCTGAAACCCACCAGCAGCAGAATAAACAATTAATGATTCATTAAAAACACTTAGCCAAAGCCAAATCAAATCTTTTTGTATTACATAAAAACACACAAAATTCTACCCTGTGTTGTAAAGAAAAGAATAGTTATATAGTTCATAGTTAGCCCAAAAAATATAGCGCTGGCTTTCAAATACTGAGCTGTAAGTGTATACAGTAATATAATTACTGTGCTCAGCTTCTCCACAACTCACAGTGACGTTTCAGCTCCAGTCAAACTCATCTAGAAATGGCATTCTGGAGGTCGGTCAAGCACTGCAAAAAAGCTTGACCGACCTCCAGACTAGAGTGAAGCATCTCAGAACTAGTAAAACTAGAACACAACATGAATAACCTGATATGAGTTTAAAAATCTTGGCCAGAGCAGAGACATTTGCAGTGTAAAAGTCAATAAGGAAACTCACTAAAATGAATTGTGTGTTTAAGGTCAACCCTACAAC